GGGGTTAGCCAATCTGGGGCGGCTAGGGGGGCGGGGCGCCATCGGGTCCCAGGACCCGAACCCGCAGGAGGAGAGGGGGGCCCTCAGGATTTAGGGGGGAGGGGAGAAGCCATGGGGGGCACCCCCGTTTAACCCCCTTCCTGGAGCGCGTTCTCCGCTGAACCAGGCGCAGAGAGACACTTTCCCCAGAATCTTAAGTGTGGGGGTGGCTGACTGGGGGCTCCTCCGGCGAATCGCTTGAAGTTCGGGAAAGAGAGTTGGCCGAGGGAGAGGACGACGTGCCGGGCCATGGCTTAGGTCCTTCGGCCCCGGCCGCAATGACCTCTTTGCCCTGCCCCCTTCCTGGGCCAGACGCCTCCAAAGCTGTCTTCCCAGACCTAGCCCCCCTCCCGTCGGTAGTGGCTGCCTACTCGCTTGGCCTGTCCCCAGCACGCCTCCTCCGATTTGTCCTTCTCGGGTCGGTATGGCCACCTCCTGCCCTACCCCTACACCGGGCCAGCGACCCCCAGAGACTCTTACCTGTCCTGTCAGCCACCCGTGGCGCTCTCTCAGCCCCTCCACGGCCCCGCCGAGCACCCGCAGGTCCTGGAGGCAGGTAAGTCTGACTGTGGCTGCTCTTCCTACCTCTGGGGTCTGGCTCCTGTGCACCCCTAAACCTCTCCCTTCAGACTTGATCTAGGTCTCCTTTCCAAACTGTCCTGGTTTCGATTTGCAGTCGTGTGAAGCCAGGCGGGAGGGCTCCCTGCCCCACCCTGGAGGGTTGTGTGTAGCTACGTGTAACGGAAAACTGAAACAATCCAGATGTTGAGGTGGGGGTCTAGCCCCTTCCCCACGATGCTCCTTGTCCTGTGCTCCCTCCTTTTTCACGTTGTCCCTCTCTGTGTCGCCCCTCTCTGTTACTCTGGTCTTAGAAGGCAGTGCTCAAACCAAACCCTGATAAATAGAAATCGAGTCCTGGCTGGAGGGCTGTAGATAAAAAGGGCGCTCCTTCCTCTCCTTTCCTGGGCCTCACCCCTTCTCCCCAGACCATGCCTGACCTTGACTGGTCAGCTGATCTGGCAGAATCTGGGGTTTGAACCCCACCACCCATTGTTCTGAGAGGATAGCCTCAGGTGGGGTTGGCTGGCTATCATCCCTCCCTGGCTATCCTGTCCTTTGCCTGAAAGGCAAGCCAGTCCTATAATCACCACCCCCTTGACATGGGGTAGGTTAGGCCCAGTTCCTAGTGCCTGGAGCATATTTGAGCTCCTGAGAAAGTGCTCACTAGAAGGCCTCAACGAGGCTGAGGAGATAGCCTGTCTTCCTGGTCCTGGGCTTTGCACGGCTGAGCTGACATCCATGTGGGCTTGGGCAGTGGCCTGCCGCTATGGGCACACCCAGCGGCACTGGCTGGAGCTTAGACTCCCTGCACGCCCAGGCCCCAGCTAATTGCCCACACAGTTGTCTTGGGCACAGTCTCCTCCAAGGATGCACATCCTTGGGTGCAGTCAGCCCAGGACCCAGACAGCTCCCTCTCTTGCCTGCCACTCTTACCCGTGAGCTCACTCACCATCAGACCTAGAAGTAATTTAGCGTCTGGGAGTTCAACCTCTCTGATGTACAGGTGGGCAAACCGAGGACAAAGAAAAGATACGCAGGGGTCAAGGATGCAGCCTGTTTTCCAGGCCCTTGCAAATCAAGGTTCACTGTATGGGGCCAGGAAAGAAAATTTTAAGAACCTTTCTCTGAGCTCCCCAAGTTAACTGCCTCCTGTGGTACAACTGGGCTTTCCTCTCTCGGGCTGCCAGGGCTGGATGGAGGAAGAGCAGTTTGGGGGGAGTGATTCTACAGACCTAGTTCCTAGGAATGAGTTCCTTGGGCTCTTCCTTGAACTATATGCTAATACAGTGTGTGGGGAATAGCACCACCTGGGCTTTAAGAGACTGTTGGCAGTGGGGTTGGCGCTACCGCTCCCGTCTTCCACACTCCTTGCTTTCTCTTTGCTTGGTCTAAGGACAACAGAGTGGAAAGTTCGTTTTCTTCACTGGCTTCCCCGATCCAACGAAAACCACATACAGGGATGCCCTTAAAATAGTTTATAGCATTTCTCTGCTGGAATGGATGGATTCTGTGGCTCTAAGAGTGAATAATTGGGTTTGAGAGAGGGCTAGGGGTCCTCCTTTCACCCCCACTCTCTGTCTCTTCTCCTCTAAGGGAGAGGCTCGCTCCAGGGAAGCTGGGCAGTCACCGGGATTAGGCAGTGCCTGGTGGGAAGCGCTGGGGCTACCAGACCAGGGCAGATCCCGGCTGAGCCTGACTTGCTGCAGCTGGTGGCGGGAATGACAGCAGTCCCGGATGGAATTTTGGGGAGGGGGTTTGGTCAGAAAGTTGGGGACAGGAGCACAAGCTTTGAGAATTCAGCAGACCCGTCTGCCTCCCTGGACTGCCACTGCGTCTCTCTCTGCGTCAAGGCCCCAACTGCACCGTCCAGGCAGCAAGGTTCGGGTGGTCCCACCGCAGCCAGCCGCTTGGAGCGATGGAACTGAAGCAGGGGAGGCCGGACAGGCGCCGGCAGAGCGGAAACCCAACGGTTTTTCTGGGAATTGGCTGAGGCGGGGGTCGAGGGGGAGGATCTGAGAAGTCTGCAGCGCCCCGAGGCCATGGCCAAGGGATGCGGGGGAGGTGACGGCAACCGCTGACCAAGGCTGGCCAAGGGCGGGACCCTGATTTGTGCG